GTGTCCCAGTCATTACTTCTATTTCTGGGATTCCGAAGCACCAAATGGACTAGCAACTGGGAAAGTCAAACTACAAGGTATAACTTGCAAAGTCCCTCATCCCTCAAGAAACTAGACCGATTGATTCTGTTTTGTGACTAGTCCACGACTTCTTCAAACCGCAACCAGTAGAGAAGGCCGCTGTATACTTCATGCGAGCCGTTCTGCACGACTGGCCGCAGTCAACCAGTCAAATGATAATGGTCAAACTCCGTCAAGCGGCCGACTCAAATTCGAAACTTGTCGTCTTCGACCTGTTGGTGACTCACGCGTGGCCCGGAATCTATACCCGGTACCACCACCACTCCTCCCAAACTTCGTCGCCGGTCCCTTTACCACTATGATAGACATTCAGGTAAGCACAAAAAACTCTTTAGTCTAATGGCCAAAAAATAAAAATGTGGGTCACACAGAACACACAAAACCAGGTGTTCAATTTGGTGAACGGGATGGAACGTACCCGTGGAGGACTTTGTTCAGTTGGGTGATTCTTCTGGATGGAAGTTGGACTATGTCAAGCCTGGGCCGCTGAGCACATTCGTTTTCTCGGCTGTATAAATTTACTTGTAACCCGCCTGCCCTGAAGTCTAGTAGTCGAAAGTGGTCGCGAGTCCTGGCGTTCACGTTCAGTATGCGCGATCGATCATGTTTTCTCCGTAGTCTCCGCTAGGCAATTTGTGAGACCCGGAAGGCAAACAGCCATATTCTTCCCAAACCTTCCTGTTTGTTCATTCTACTATTCTACAAGTACACATATTCGAAAGATTCATGTAAACCAAATACAAACACCTCCCGTATCACTCTCTCCGCTTCCCCTTCCCAACACCCGTCCCAACACGTACAAGCGTCTCCAAAGAATCCCTAGAATTAAGCAACAAATCCTCATCCCACTCTACCGTACCAGCTTCAAAGAGCATCACAATTGTCGATCCCCCTGGTAGGGCGTTAGATGCGGAAAAAAAAGCGTCCGAGGGAAAAAAAACAAAACAAACAAAAACGGCGCGAAACTCACCAAACGCAAAGTATCCAAACTCTTCTCCTCTCTTCACATTCTGCCCTTCTTCAACCGTCAACCTTATCGATCCAACCATCATAGCTCCAATACAAACAGCCATCACACGACCAAACTGTGGGGAATCGATCGGTAC